GATAAGATGTATGTGTGAGCTCGCTTCCATTTTCTTTCTGTTTCCCACTGTCACCTGTCTCCAGGTAAACCATTAACCAGCAAACAGCCATAAAACTCCACTTTATGGAAAGTTTGATGATGGTGGTTGTAAACAGCAAAGACTTTTATTGCCTCGCTGGCTGTTGTTGCTCACCTTGACACAGTTTGCATGGAAGAAAGAAATGCAGACGAAGGTCGAGCTGAACCCCACCCACGGCCTAAAAGTAGCTGCTGCTTCCCGTCAGGTTTATGTCTTATTAAAACAAATTGCTTCTAAAATGCCTTAAAATGAGCTAGAAGGTGGTTCTAGCTCTGCCTGTTTAAAGCCCACTTCCTCCTGACTGGCCGGCTATATCCACAGTGTTACTGGATCATTAATGTTCATTAATGAGGTTATTGCTTTAATGTTGCAGCTGGAGGTGATTTTAATGCTGGCAGATTTATCTGTAAGAACACAGAATGTTTACATCAAAAGTCTGTAATGTAAGAAATAATCGAAATAAAGGTTTTGGGTATTAAATCCAGAATATAGCAGCGGGTGGAGGAGAATGGATGGCCTTTTTTGTAATTAAAGTTTTTTTTTAACATTTAAACAAGCATAACAACACAAACCAGACTGAGTGAGGAAGAAAGACGAGGAAAACGGGGGGCATTATAAATAAAGTGTTGTACACACAAGACCCTCTCCATTCAGACTGTATCTCACATTGTCATCATGCTGTAGACTCATAAAACTGTCACATTGTTCTGTTAGAGTCTGTCTTGCTGCTCAGTCTTCCCAGCATTTTCTCCTTCCACATGTTAGGGTTGGAGTCCGAGGCGCTTTCCAAAGTGTTAAAATAAGACAAACACACGTCACAAGCCCAGTGTTTAACACTCTGAAGCAGGGGTGAATCAAAGTGAATCAAAGCACCCCCACAGACTTCTTACTTTTTTTGACAATATTTGCTGTTTGTGTGACACACTACTAAAAATATAAAAAGCATACAGTACTTTACTTGTTTGAGACGTAACATTTTAACAACAAAAGTATAGATACCCCCCCGCCTCCCAAAGTGGTTTGTTCCAGCTCTCCCCTGCTCT